TGAGGAGTGTGTGTGTAAGGGCTCTGTGCAGGACACTCTGAGGAGTGTGTGTGTAAGGGGTCATGCTGAGTCTCCCTACTGACACAGAAAGCTCAGCAGCACGGAAGGATGACTCTGACAACATGTTCCGACAACATGCTATCATCTTATGGGGATTATTCAGATGTGTAAAACTTACCTTGGCCCGGCAAATCTCACGCCAGTGGGCTGGGTGTTGATAAACCGATTAGCCTCCGCCTCAGGTTGTCTTCCAGCCCTGTCTGAAGTCACTGTGCAAACGGCCCAGAAGACGGTTTCCCCTCACCGAGCCCACTCACCCCACCCACGAATCAGGAAATCACGGACCGTTCCATTCACATCTTTTACTCTAAACCCTAACTAATTACGCGGAAAAAGGAATTAAAAACGGAAAAAGTGGAACAAACGCACAATAAACCTTCGGGATCACACTGTGTTTTCAATTATTCGATTACGAAAGGAATTATAAGATGCAAGGATTTGTTCAGTACTTTATTACATTAATTCCACGAAAACAGCCAGGGTGTAATTGCATCACGATTTATTTCATTAAAAATACTATTGTGATCAGACTTCGTACTGCTGAAAGAGTTCGAGGACAGGAAATGTTCCAAAATTCGAAAGAAATGTAATTAAAATCAATATTTTCGTACCTTTTCTCTTTCGCTTTCGTTGCACATTCGAAACCTGAAGACAGTATTATAAGAAACTCTATAGGTCCCCGATTGCCTTGTGGAAAATATGAATAAAACTAGAGGAACCGGTAACGGGACCCAGAACGGTCTGTCAAGCGTCAAGTATGAGCGAGCGCGCGGACGAGCGCCAGCAGCGACGTCACAGACTGGACTCTCGGAGCACCGCAGGATTTAGACACCAGAGAAACGAAATCTTGGTCCATAAACGACACCGGAACCATTTCTGGAGCCTGGATTGTCCAAACGCAAGGATGGGTGTGATTCCTTTATTTGGGGGTAGGGGGATCAGATTGGTCGACCCTCCTGAATTAAGAATATCTGCTCTGTGTTACTGTTGCGTCGTTATTGCCACTGTTTCTATAAAACATCGGGAAACTTTACCGGCCGCTGTCATATAGTTACCTGCCTGGGCGAGGGCGCTCACGCCTGGCGGTTTGCCTTTACTTTGGACAGTCAAGCGTGCCAATAACGATAATCAATCGTTTCTGTTTTCGATAAGAACTCAGTCCAGCTACCTCGGCTGTCAGCCGTCACCCTGGACGTTTTTTTTGTTTTGTTATTCCCAAATTAAAAAATAAAGGAACGTAGCTAGGTGGGATTGGAATGGGTGAGAAATTCGATAGACAGATGTAGCAATGTCTGTCGTTTAAACAGTAAAATAAAATCAAGTTCACCCGGGCCGCAATATGTTCTGTAATTATCGACACCCAGGTTTCTGGAGAGGAGAGCGTTCGGGAGAACAAGGGTAGCGGCTAAACCCTGCAATTTGTGAGGGCCGCCTCCTCGCGCAGGTCTCGGCGTTAAAGTCATTTTGAAACGCTGTATTTCTGCACGCGCGCCATCCGCCACCTTGCTCGCACGCCAGCGCATGCGCCGCGGGCCCAGTCAGGTGTGCTCGTTAAGACCCGCTGCCCCCTGACGTCACCCAGGTCAAGAAAGTTAATTCGTCAGTGTCAATCGATGCATCGATCGGGCGATCAATCGATAACCGTGGGGTTAAATGTGCAAGAGCCTCAAAACGGCAACCCTTTGCGCTCTCTAAACCCGCTGTGGGCACGTCTGAAGCGCCTGGATGGGTCAGACGAAGCATGAATTTGTTATTACAATATGTGTACGCGTGGTAATACATTTTGAACGGAATTCTTCTCTCTAACAGGGCGGTTGGTGGGTGTGTCAGGAATAGGACCCCAGACATCCCGGCGGGTGCCCGTGAGCTCTCCCGAGTGGTGATGTTGATCGCTGGACTCGGACGGGTCCGGCTGAACCAGGAGAGGAGAGAGAGGAGTCAGGTCGGCGAACAGCGGGGAACTGGGCCACGAGCTGCAGACACGCAGATAACCGGTCCGCCGCGCTAGGCCGCGGGTCCAGGCAGAGCGCAGCCACTGCAGATACGGTGGCAATTATTCGAACAGCTGGAGAGTTGAAATAGGTGTGGCAGTAACTGTTTCACCTGCCATTGTAAACCGAATCAAATCTATAGGTAAACATAACAAAATATAAATACTATAGGTAAACATAACAAAATATAAATATAAAAATCCAATAAGTCAGGCCAGTGGAGCAGCGGCAGAGCTCGTACGCGATGCATGAGCACCAGCTGCAGTGCCTCCTGTACTCTCGCAATACTGGAAACACAAACACTGGGATTTCAAAAGCGGCCGGCTGTGTGTCCCGCCGCTGTAAGACTGAAATAGCTAGAGAACAAACCTTCCCTGATCTGAGCGACGCTTTTATCCATGCTACTGGGGGTCCCCATCTGAGAGCCCCAACAGGCAGCAACCCACTCGTGATTTAAGAGCACGAATTTCCAGCTCTTGATCGCTCCTGATCACTCCTGATCACTCCTCCACACAGCTGCGCGCCCCAGAATCGAAGGGTGACCGTGTGGCTCTGTGTTCACCTGCGCAACCTGAGACGGGTCAAGATGCTACAATTATTCTTTAAGTTAAAAGACTTTCATGGGTGGCCTCCGCGTTATGCTCGGGAAATGAAAATCGTTTCTTAACGCGTGGACCCACGCGCTCACCGCGGCCGCCTTCTGCACCGAAACCCACATCCACGGAGGAACGGGGAGCGAGGGGAGGTTACCGTAGCAAACGGATGGGGGTATTCGTTCATTATTTTAAGAGTAACCCTAACCCTAACAGGAAATCAAATCCAAATATATTGTAATATAAATAAATACGTGTGTTTTCTATTACGATGAGAACAGAACGTCTACAGCCTTTCCCAGCCTAAGCGCTGATACACGTGGATCAAGATCTTGATCTTGTGGATCAAGAGGGCGGGTTGTTTGACTAACGGCCGCTCTTGATGCATTTGAAAATGTGAAATATGATCGTTCGGTCCGGCCATTTGAGATGGGGTCGTATCGGCTGATCTAAACCTGCGACATAGGCGTCAAACTGGGGTCGGTGAAAATCCGACCAGCCCCCATCAGGAGAGACGGCACGTGTGATCGACACTGTGAAGTCAGGTGCGCGGATTTAAGCTGGCGAGGGAATTGGAGCCCCTTAGAAAAGATCAGAAAGCTGTAACTTTCAGTCTCCCTCGCTCTTCCCTTACCGAAAGCAAACACAGCCCAGCCTTCCCGCTGGCAGGTAGCAAAACAGGCGTCTGCTCTCGCCGTGGCTGCGCGCTGAACGCCGTCTTCCGTTTCAAAGCTCGCGCGCCGCGCAGGCCGTCCGGCCGCACTGGCGATAAGGGCATTGATGAGCCGAGCTCGCGGTGACGTCAGAGGTCTGAGAGGCGCAGCCTGACTGGCTCCCCCCTTCCACCCTGGTTCAGCAGAACACAGGGCACGCACACACACTCATAACACACATACAGACACGGAGCCAAGCCTCGGCACATCACAGAGCAGCGCCATCCTACAGCGCAGAGCGCCCGCGCACACACACCGAGAGCCACACGGGGAGACGCGGCTCCGGCGCACACACACCGAGCACACTGCGCGCTGCGAGCACGGGAGAGCCGGCTGTCTTCGCGGCGGACTGAGCCACCCCGTCAAAATCATGCTGGATTGACTGCAGAGGGGCTGCGAGAATCAATGGCTGAGCTTTGAAATCGTTTGAAATTTATCTGTCGGAGGAGAGGGGGAGAGAGAGAGAGGAGAGAGAGAGGAGGAGAGAGAGGGAGGGAGGTGGAAAAAAAAAAGATTCTTTCAGCTATGGAACTTACAATGGAAAACATTGGGAACCTGCACGGCGTGTCTCACTCTCAGACAGGCGACTTGATGAGCGCTCCGCACGGGCGGCAGTCTTCGGCGGCGCACCGGAACCTGGTGTCGCACGGCCGGCCGGCGATGGTGTCCAGCATGGCCTCCATCCTGGAGGGGGCCGGGGACTACCGGACGGACCACGCGCTGTCCGGCCCCCTGCACCCGGCCATGACGATGTCGTGCGACTCCCCCTCCGGCATGAGCCTGAGCAGCACCTACACCACCCTGACCCCGCTGCAGCACCTGCCCCCGATCTCCACGGTCTCGGACAAGTTCCACCCGCACGCGCACCCGCACCACCACCCCGCCCACCAGCGCCTGGCCGCCGGCAACGTGAGCGGCAGCTTCACCCTCATGCGCGACGACCGCAGCCTGGCCTCCATGGGCAACCTGTACGGCCACTACCCGAAGGACATGTCCGGCATGGGCCAGCCGCTGTCCCCCCTGTCCAACGGCCTGGGCTCCCTGCACGGCTCGCAGCAGAGCCTGCCCGCCTACCCGGGCGCGCACCTGCCCAGCGAGAAGATGCTGTCGCCGGGCGGCTTCGAGTCGCACGCCGCCCTGCTGTCCCGCAGCGAGGAGCACCTGGCCCGGGGGCTGGGGGGGCCCGGCGCCGGGATGATGCCGGGGCTCAACGGCATGCACCCCCACGCCCACCCGCACTCGCAGGCCAACGGCTCGCTGCTGTCCGAGCGGGACAGGCAGGCGGCGGGGGCCGGCCAGGGCGCCGGGGGCGGCCAGGTGGAGGAGATCAACACGAAGGAGGTGGCGCAGCGGATCACGGCGGAGCTGAAGCGCTACAGCATCCCTCAGGCCATCTTCGCACAGAGGATCTTGTGCCGCTCGCAGGGCACCCTGTCGGACCTACTGCGGAACCCCAAGCCCTGGAGTAAACTCAAGTCGGGCCGGGAGACCTTCCGCAGGATGTGGAAGTGGCTTCAGGAGCCGGAGTTTCAGAGGATGTCGGCGCTGAGGCTGGCCGGTGAGTGCGGGCGGGCAGTCCTGGTGGGGGGGCTGGGGGGGGGGCAGGGGGTGCCCTCGGTGAGAGCGGGGAAGCTCAGCTTGCCTGCCAGCCGCACAGAGTTTGTGCATGTCGGCGGGGTGGCGGGGTTTGTGGGACGGGAGCGGCGGGCGCTCGTTCCCGGCTGGCTCTCGGGGCGACAGGTGCGAGGTCACCGCGTGCGGCGGGGAGAGGGCCTTTAGTCGCGCGACAGTTCCGCGGTGCAAGGACTCGGCGCGCGGCGGCAGGCAGTGCTCAGACAAAAGGGCAGGCGCGAGCCGGCGTGCTGCTCCGAGAGACCGAGACACACAAAAACACACACACACACACAGACCGCGGAAAAACAAAACAATTACAAAACGCTAACGTGCAATGGAGCTCCGAGAGAAAAAAAGACTCTTCGTTACAGTCCGGCGCTGGAGAAGCGATCACGCATTCGCGAACGATTTTCTGTCAGATCCACGCGGTATAGACCCGGCAGTCTCACGCCGGCGAGTGGGAATCTCAGCCTGCCTGTTTCGCAAAACCTCGTTCTAAAGGTCATATTTGTGCCTCCAGCCCCCACCCCCGCCCCGGTCTCTCCAGGCCCCGGCGGGACTCCTGTCTCCCAGCGAGGTGCAAACAAGCCGCAGCCCGGCTCAGGGGCCCCAGTCAGGGGGTCAGGGGTGCGTGACCTCCCGCGGATCGATACCGCAGTTCCCAGCGTTCCTTTTAAAGCTGCGTGCCGATCGATGATCGATTCGCATCCGAAAGACAGCTAAGCCGCACAGCCCCGGCTGCCTGTCGCGCTCCTGCCCTTTGTTACTCCTCTGCAAGCGCGCGGCTGTCTTGATTCCTCCTCTTCGGGGGAAAAAAAAGCAGAAGAATTTATTTTTCTGGTAGTTAGCGCACTTCCGCATTTCGCCGTTAGTTAATTTTCGGGGGGTGGGAAAATGCCAAAGCTCGCGGGCGAAATTAAAGCGGCGACAGACATTTAAAAAAAGGTGGAAAAAGCGAAAAATCTGGGATCCGCGTTCTATCTCAGAAACGCGGCTTCATCTAAACGCGCAGACATAACGCCGAACGTGTGTTGTGTAAACCTGCGGAGATTCTAAAGCTCTACCCAGACAGTATAAAAACACATTTTCTATTATTGAAAAGGTAGCGGCTGGATCTGCAAGCGCCGAGGAAATCAGACAAAATCAGAAAGCAGAAATGCGTTTTGTTCCGATTGCATTTCAATATGAAAATTCGCCGTGAAAGACGCGGGTGTTAGAATAAAATATTTTATTTACGCAAACGGTATTAACGAAACAAACAAGGGAAAACTGAATTCGGCGCATACAGGGCAGTCGTTTCCCAGTTTAATCTCAGTCGCACCAGTAGGAGTTTATTAAGAGCGCTTAAAACAGCAAGTGGTTTCTGTACTCCTGTACCTGCATCGAACAACATTAGTTAAACACATTTGGAAGCAATTGTACAAGGCGTCCTAAAATAAAAATATCAACAGGCAGAAATTGATATAAAAGAGTAATTTTATATAATCCGTTTTATATTGTGATGTAAACACGCATGAAACTGATGAGAAAATCAGTGCATTTATATTCACTTACCAATAGTATTAATCAATGAAGTAGAACTGCTAGTGTATGTAGCTATAATTTGATCTCTCTGTACATGTATATAGACCAAAGACTATTGTGTAACAAAAACATACCGTGGCCATACTAGACTGTGATGAGGAGGCATTAATTATGTAGCAGTCTTTTTCAGAAAATATTTTGAAAGATTAATACGAGACGTGGTTAAACGATTAATCAATTTCTTTGGCGTTACGGTGTGATTGTATTCGTGGGTGTGTGTGGTATTAGTTCCCGATGCAGGCGGCTAGAGCAGAGTCACGGTATCTTATATAACCTGCCGGCGCCGTGTTGTTCACCTGACAGTGACAGGCAGAGGACGGCCGTCCTGCGCCACCAAAGACATCAAAACTACAATGACAAATGAACCAAAACGAAGAGATTTCCAAATGAACAGCGACTCGTACAACCCTCATCAAACATTCACGACGCCCCGTGCTTCTCAAACCAGGGTTCCAGGCCAGAGCCCGTCACCCGCTCCCTGGACTCGAAACGGAGCCGTGCGCGGTCCCGCGCGGCCTGGACACAGACTGGTCCCCGTGTCTCGGCCGAACGGGGCAGCCGTCTCGCACTAGACACGCCAAGATCGGCTGTAAACGCAGTATTTCAGCGGCTGCTTCAATTAGCCCTGTGCAGCGGCATATTTTAGTTCCAGTCAATGCTCTATTGAAAAGCACTTAATGGGATGTAAATTGTTCCTGCGCGTTTACAGGGGTTCTGGTAAATAAAGATTTAAACACTCTCACAATTGGCTCTTTAAGTACCGCAGCTGTTAAACCTAATTGGGCAGGGCCGCTTTCACACTCCCATCAGCCGCACGAGGCGAGCGCGAGGGCGCTCTGGCGCAGGCCGCGGGCCCGTCCACCCGCTGGCCCGTGCTGCCCTGCGCGCCGCCGCCCTAAAACCCCTTTCTGGCACGGGAGCGAGTCGGCAGCGGATCACCTCGCCGCAGATGCGCTTCTCCGCCATTGCTTTTGTCGTCGTGAACTAACAGCAGAAAAAAAACAAACTAAAATAATGAGTCTACGTTGATACGAATTCGAGTTTGCAATGTTCCACAAAATATAATATTCCACTCCCTGTATCGGTACATAAAGTCATAAACAGGCTATCACCATTTTCTAAACCGATTATAAGCACGCCATTTCACCGCTGCACGTCTTGTAGGTATTTTTATTGCTAGAAGATGTATTTTTGCCCCAACACTAATAATGGTTTTGTTCACTTAAACTTACTTTTCCTGAGTGTTTATAAATGCAAACCCGTCACCAGTGCTCACACTCTTGCTGTAAAGGGCACCCCTTCTGGCCCCCAGCGGGCTGCAACTGGACTCGCTGAAGGGGTTCTGACGCCTCGGTGCCCCGGTATTTTAGGCCACAGGTTTCGGGGCTCATGACGCACAAACTCGGGGTTCCAGGTGCCAGCCTGGTCTAGGCCACGCTCCACGGCGCGGGTGCTGTCCGTGCTCTGCAGAGAACAGACGCGACACAGCCACACCGAGAGCAACAGGGCGCCTGGCGCCCCGGAAACGTGCCGGCGACACTATCGCTCCGCGTTCGAGGCTCGGGAGCCGTTCCCGCGTGAGGGGGCGGCGCACAGCTCGCGCTCGGGCACGCGTGACTGTAGCTCCCGGTCTCTCCGTTGGCTGGTCGTCCGTCCGACTCACGTGCGTGGAGGAGAGAAGATGACTGTGGACATATCTGGTTACGGCGACACTCCGCTGCCCCGTCAGGCCTTGCTGGTGCTTCCAGAGTGTTACCTTCCGGCTGCCTCGCGGACTCTGGCCCTGTGCGCCTGTGTCAGCGAGGCAGGCCGTCCGTCCACCTGCTATTCCGAACCGGGCCAGCAAGCGCTTGGTACCCCGCCTCCCCCCAGGGCAAGTGTGTTAGTGAGGACGGGGCGTCATCTGCCCCAGGGCAAAACGGACTCCAACAAAGTGACAAATACAGTATGCAGATTGGCGGGGCTATATTTCACTTATTACCTTTAAATCTGCTATTACCAGCCGCGCGCACGGGGGCCGGGCAGGGGGCGGGGGTGGAAGGGGGCGTGTGCGCGCGCGGGGGGGGGGCTGCATTCGCTCGGCTACCGAAATCGATAAATTCGAATTACTATTCCGAATTCATCACAGTCACAGAAATCAATTTCTTTGCCTTTCTTCTGATAATTTATAAATTACAGCACCGGGATATCGCGCCGAAACATGCTCGTCTGCACAGACTGGCCGCCCGCAATACATATAGAACTCAGTGTGGAACCCGCGCGACCCGGGGCATCTCCACGCCGGACAGACACACGCAGGGACACGCGCTTTCATCACGGCGCAGAAGGAACTCGTTAGATCTGCAGCTCCCAGGCAGGGGGGGGGGCGCCGTGCGATTTCTCCCGCGGAGAGTTCAGTGTTGAATTCCGTGACAGCCGTGGAAACAGGAATTTAAGAGGCTTCCGGGCCGGACCGAGCGCCTCGCGGGCAGCTCAATGTCTCTGTTAATAACATCAACACGTGGAAAGGCTGATCTCAGTCCCGCAGTCTCAGCTCAAGGAGCGTTGTAGACCCACAATCGGGCCAGTTTGCGGTTTCACGAACCAGTACACTAACCGGAAACTCAGGGCTGCTGTCTGTGGGCAGGTAACAGGGCAAGAACTGAAAAAAAAACAACAACTGTGCTTCGGTTTGTGCTGTGCAGACTGCTACTCAACCAGGCTCTCTGATCTCTTGGAATAATGACAGGAATCCAACATCAACCAAAAACAACCACACAACCAGTTAGGGTTATAGTCGCCAGCCGCCAGTCAATAAAACACCCCCTCCCTCCCAGAGCCCTCTGCGGGGGCCCTGAGACGCCCAGGGGTCCGCACCTGGCCCCGGCCTGCCACACCCGCCAGGGGACAGGACGGAGCTCGCGGATCTGACGCTGAGGGGGGCCGCTGAGAGCCAGGCTCCGTCTCGGGCTTGAGGAAACGTTGCCACACTGGAGCAACAAAACGGGCCTTCTCCAAGCCCACCTGTCTATCGCCAAGCACCATCGTTATGGCAAAAGTGATCAATAACATTTTATTCTCCGCACGCACAAGCTGGGGGGGAGAGGGGGGTCTAAGACTTTTAACACGGTTGTGGTGAGCAATCACAGAAATGAATAAAAAGCACATGATCTGACTGGCGGATCGTTTTGCCCTTGCACCAACACGCATCTCGCACGCGTCTCGCACGCGTCTCGCACGCCTGGAAGTGCAGGCCGTTACAGGCGGCGAGGCCTGGGCGTGTGGACAGCGCCTCGCCCCTCTGAGAGGAACGACTGGGGCGCAGACAAGACACAGCCCGGGCGCTCGGGCAGGAAGGCGGTGGCGCAGCACCGAGAGAGA